TAAAACTAAATCTTAATCATCCTAGCTTGGAGGATGAAAGTAATCTTAATCATCCTAGCTTGGAGGATGAAAGTAATCTTAATCATCCTAGCTTGGAGGATGAAAGTAATCTTAATCATCCTTGCTTGGAGGATATAACTAATCTTCATATATTTTAGAGGAGCAAAAAGGGTTAAAATTGAACAAGTGTGTGATGGGAAATATGAAGTGATATTGAAGAAGATATTTCCTTTCACATTTTTTTGAATTTGAAAGGATAATCTTATTTCATGAAGTAAATTTTTGGTAAAGATTTGGAACATAAAGCCTGTTCAACAAAGAAATAATTAATCCTCTTTTTCATCGAAGTTGAGAGGAGAAATTTCTAATTGTCCTTATCGATCATTGTACCGTAATGAAAGATATAATAAAGAGGCACGGGAAGAAATAACAAAATGATACAATTTTAAGGTTTTTGAATACTAATAATTAAGGTAGAAATATTTGGGACTGAAAAGTATAAAGTATTTTACTATTAAATAATTTGTATTCAAATTAATGTTACTAGAGAATTTATTTTTGTGGGATAAAAGCTGTTTTAGAAACTAGACTTAATATTTTCATATATTTAACTTGGAGCTTTATAATTTGTATTCTCTTTTTTTTTTGTAAGTTATGTTACTAACGGTAATAGCTAAGTCCTTTAGAAATCTTTGAAACACAGAGTTGTAAACATAAGGTCTGTTGATTTTCATAATATTGATAGTGACGATGTCTATGCAAGTTATGTTTTTCCGTAATTATTTTTATGTTAACTCTATGTATAAAAATATTTCAGATAATGTTGTGCATTTATAAAATTTACTGAAAACTCTAGTTTTGTAATGAATTATTGTTCTTATTAATTTCTAAATGTGTCTGTTTAATCCCTTTTTTAAGTCCTAGGTTTACATAAGATCTTGATAAGTAAAAAATATTGGTGGAGCTGTGATTGGTTTTCGTATTAATAATATTATACAAAACTTTAGGACAAATAAGTGAAAAATGTGTCTTACCAACAAAATTATAAATAGTGTACAGTAAATGTTTGGTAAACATTTAAGATTTAAATGTGATTTGTGAGCTTGACATTTGTACATTGTGTTGGACTTTTATACTGTTTTAAATTCATATAGGAACACAGGACCGAAATAGATGCTCGTGCTGGGACCTTTCAGGCCTTTGAAACCTTTGGACACAAACTATTAGAAGGTGGTCACTATGCTAGTGTAGAAATCCAGGAGAAACTTGAAACGGTGCAAGAAGCTCATAAAGAGATGGAAGAGTGGGTTTCACTCTTAGTTTCACTCAGTCCATATACAAAACTTAGTGTTTGTGACCCAACAGAACCCTCTTTATTTTACTTTTAAGTTTTCATCCTGTCACAAAATACAGATGTGACATTTTATAAGGAAAGTTGTATATAATTCTCATGCTGATCACGAAGTAATGTATAAAAATACATCTTTTGCATGCACTATACATTAATATCACTGAATTTGATGTTTACTAATAACCACTGAACTCTCTATAAATTGTTTTTGTAATAAAACTTTAATTTTGCTTATCCATCATACAGTACAAGTAATTAGCATCTTTGGAATTATCCTGTTACAAACCAAGGCCATTGTTAAACATTATAAGATTTTCACAGTACAAAGCTGCTATACTGTATTTTTTACTTTCGTTGTTACTGCTTTCAGACGAGGGTTTTTATTTCACTTTATTTTTAAATACTTAAGTGTAAGTTTGTATATTTTAGCAGTATACAGCATTAAATAAAAGTTGTTCTTGGTAATCGTGGTTGAAAAATTAAATAACAATAAATTTTTATTTTTCACTTTCCTTAATTTGTCTTCATGATTGATCTAGAGAGAAGAAAAATCTGCAATTAATAATTTTTCTCTAAGACATTAGCTTTTTTAATTGTGTAATGATTTAAAATTCTTATGCTTGGCAGTGCATGGCATGCTCGACGTGTAAAATTGGATCAGTGTCTGGAGCTTCAACTTTTCTATCGAGACTGTGAACAAGCTGAGAACTGGATGGCTAGCCGAGAGGCATTCCTCAGTTCAGATGATATGGGAGGCGACAATGTAGAGGCCCTTATCAAGAAACACGAGGATTTTGACAAGGCTATTCAAGCTCAAGAAGAGAAGATTGTAGCCTTGGCTCAAATGGCCGGTCAGCTTATTGCCGGTGACCACTATGACTCTAATGCTATCAGTGATAAAAAGGACCAAGTTCTGGAGAGGTGAGTGCGAGTTTTCTGGAAAAAAAAAGTCTCATAGTGGGAATTCAATCCCAGAATGTATGTATAGGTAGGAAAGTATCCTGGGATCCTGTTCCTGGCTTGTTTAGCGATCATTAAAACTGGAAACTGAGCATTGCATTATGTTTTAATCGACCTGTGTGTAAAGCCATCCTATTTTTCTAATGTGAAACCAGGATACAATATGCCATTAAAAAAAAACAGCTTTTAAAAGTTTTCATACTTTCGTTTATGATTCTTCAAGCAAATGTTTCCCCTATTTATCGGTACCACTGTAGTCTACCAGTTAGATTGAAATTGCATTTGGTGAGGCAAGAACCTGTTATCCATGTAAACCAGTAATACTCGAGTTAGCAGAGCAAAGTAAAGGCTCTAATTAAAAACCGGTATAGTCAGCCAGAGTTTTATGGTAATAGGCAAGTTATTTGGTGTATTTAAAAAAGACTTAATATGATTGAAGGTAATGAGTATAAAAGGAAAAATTGTTATGTTTTATAATTGGTTTAAAATTCTGAAAAGTGAAGCTGCTAAATTTTTTTTACATGAGTATCTTTCAATTCAAAACTTCACAAAAGCCTGGGAAAATTATAAGAAAAACTTAAGTTTTTGAGTTTACATACATTTAATCAATAAATCGTAATATAGCCTTAACGAAATGTTGTAAAGGTGATAAAAGTCTGGTATATGTTTTTGATCAGACATAGAATATTGTCATTATTGTATTCTTAGAAAATTTGAATTTTTTGTTATGCATTTGCTTCTAGAAATATTTAATAAAACTTTCTTCAGTCTTACCTTTTACGGGGCTTCTGCCCCCCTCCCCCAATGGTAAAGTGGTATGTCTGAGGACTTATAACGCTATAAATTGGGTTTGATACCCGTGGTGGACAGAGCACAGACTGCCCATTGGCCTTATTTTAGCATTAGAATGCACATATTAAATAAAACGATACATTTCTAAACTTAAATGTACTAAATTTTTGCCATAGTGTGAAATTATTTTATAAATGCTTTTTTAGACACATTGTGCTATAGTATGTAGTATGAAGATTCTTAGACTATTTATAGTAAGACAGTTACAATCATGAGGGTTAATTATGGTAAGTGTGTTATGGAAGCTAGACTAGTTTTAGTAAGACAGTTACAATCATGAGGGTTAATTATGGTAAGTGTGTTATGGAAGCTAGACTAGTTATAGTAAGACAGTTACAATCATGAGGGTTAATTATGGTAAGTGTGTTATGGAAGCTAGACTAGTTATAGTAAGACAGTTACAATCATGAGGGTTAATTATGGTAAGTGTGTTATGGAAGCTAGACTAGTTTTAGTAAGACAGTTACAATCATCAGGGTTAATTATGGTGTGTTATGGAAGCTAGACTAGTTTTAGTAAGACAGTTACAATCATGAGGGTTAATTATGGTAAGTGTGTTATGGAAGCTAGACTAGTTTTAGTAAGACAGTTACAATCATAAGGGTTATGATAAGTTTGTTATACTCTTCTTTAAGTAACTGATGAAACTTTGTTTCAGTAGGCCAAAAATCTTCATTTTTTTTCCATTTTATTTACCTATATAAATTGTTTAATGAACTTAGTATGCTGTAAAATTACAGTTAGATTATTCTACCAATAAAAGGCTAAACTTTTTTTTTAATATATGTAATATTTTATTCCTTTTAAAAATTGATTCAGGGTTTTTATCTAAAGGCAGGATATACAAAAATAAGAAAGTTCAAAACAAAATGGATATTAAACCATGGTATAAAATAGTTAGCATATTTTAATTTAAATGCTAAAGCATTTATAAAATTTGAAATTTGTTGTTTGACAGAATGTATAATGCCTTTTTTTTAATGTAGATCAATATATTGAAAAGTCATCTAAACTGTTCTGTTGTGTTGGAGGGTTTGTAGTAGTTGTAAGTGTTTAATATTGTTAATATTGCAGGTGGCACCACCTGAAGGAAGCTTTGATTGACAAGAGGTCTAAGCTGGGAGAGTCGCAGACTTTACAGCAGTTCAGTAGAGAGGCTGATGAGATCGAGAACTGGATTGGAGAAAAGCTCCAGATGGTGATAGACGAATCTTACAAAGATCCTGCCAACATTCAGGTAGACTAATATATTCCTTTCTACTTGATGATGCTTGTTGTATTACTTTTAATTATACTTTTGTACGTGCACCTATGGAAGATTTTATAAAAAAAGTTGTCTTATTTGAAACTTTTCTTAATGTATGATATAAAATAGTTTTATATTTTTACAGTTTTTTACCTTAAGCTTTTAATATTTGAAAATTAACAATGTGTTGGGTAGACTTCACTCTATATTTAGATGTATTTAAGAAAGTCATGATGTATAACTTATTCACAGACCAAACACCAGAAACATCAGGCATTCGAAGCTGAACTTGCAGCTAATGCAGAGAGAATTCAGACCGTTCTGGGAATGGGACAAAACTTGATAGACAGACGTCGGTGCGCTGGCTCAGAAGATGCTGTCAGAGCTCGACTTGTTTCCATTGCTGATCAGTGGGAGTATCTAACTCAGAAGTCTTCAGAGAAAAGTATGAAACTTAAAGAAGCAAACAAACAAAGAACATTCAATGCAGCTGTCAAAGATATTGACTTTTGGTTGGGGGAGGTAATATAAATTATGTATATTCAAAGTGTTCCTACTTACATAAATATTAAAATTATATCCTGAACTTGTAAAAGATTTTAATATTTAAGTAAGGTTATAAAGTTTTTGTGAGTTTTTTTTTTTTAAAAGTAATCACTTCTCGAAAGGTGATTGACGTAAGAGTAATATAATTATGTGATAATTCATTTACGTGGCCTGGAATTATAACATTAAAATTCACATGATTTTAATTATTTGAACATGATACAAGGAAAATCTCCAAAGCAAACATTTTATTTTGTATGTTAGGATAAAATATTTTGAATTGATGTATTATGTTATATTGAAAGTTAACAGATCGTTGTCACCAGTTTTTTTGTTGTTGTTTTTTAAGAAATAATTGATCTATAAATTAACAGTAATAGTTGGTAAATTATGAAAATAAAATCTTATTTTCCAAATCATCAAAGATAACATTCAGTAAAGGCAAAGTTTAGCTCAGATTGTTCTTATCTTTGGAAACATGACATTTTAATGAAACATATAATTTGCACTAGTATTTCGTAGCAAAAGCTTTTGAAAAAACTTTTAAGTTTTCTATCACCTTATAGATTTAAGAGCAAAATAGTTTGAAAAAACAAAAGTTTACATGTAGTTTTTATCCACAAAAGCACTAATTAATACTTAAAATATATTTTGCATAAGTATTTCAAAAAATATGAAAAAAAAAAAGCTTTGTGAAAATGTCAAACGTTTTTCTCTTAACTTTAATGGTAGTTTTAAGACTTTCTTTTAATACATCATATTTGGTGTTTCTATTCACACCACTGGTGATTTATTCTTGTAAGGTTGAATCCTTGTTGAAGTCTGAAGATTCAGGAAAGGACTTAGCATCGGTGCAGAACCTAATTAAAAAACACCAACTTGTAGAGGCTGATATTACAGCCCATGAGGATCGAATCAGAGACATGAACAGTCTAGCAGATAGCTTGATAGAGTCCGAACAGTTTGATGCAGCATCTGTGCAAGAAAAGCGCAATTCCATAAATGAACGATACGAGCGGGTAAAGAGTCTTGCAGCACATCGTCGTTCCCGATTGAATGAAGCCAACACGCTCCATCAGTTCTTTAGAGATATTGCTGATGAGGAATCTTGGATTAAGTGAGTATATTTTGTTCCACCTTATTCCTTGGTTCAAGTAATTGTTCAGGCTTGGCAGTTAGGGCACTTGACCCGCAATCTTTAAGTTACGGGGCTCACCTTTTCAGACATGGGGGCATTATAAGATGATGGTAATTCCGACTATTTGTTGTTAAAAGAATTGACCAGGAGCTGGTGGTGGGTAATGTTTACTAACTGCCTTCCATCTAGTCTATCACTGCACAATTAGGGAGGGTTAGTGAAGATAGCCTTCGAGTAGCTTTGTACAAAATTCATCAAAAAACAAACAAGTAATTGTTAAAGATAATAGTTCACAATTTGTTTGCCTTTAGGCCATTTCAGACTTTTCCAGACATAACCTGAAAAATTATAATTTGTTGCTTTCACCAGTTTTTGAATTAAAAGAACAAAAGTTATTTTCAGACTTTGCTAACATACGGTGGTGGTAGCAATTAGAGTAAAATCATTTTGAAGAGCTAGTTTTAAAGATTTGAAAATTTTTTTGTCGTAATGTTAATGACAATCATACTGATTTTTAATTCTTTGAACTATTTTTTGTGATGTGACTGCAGACTAAAGTAGTTCCTAGTTTTATAAAGTATCTATAGAACTTCTTCAGTATGTGGATTTGTATAAGTAACATAGATAGAAATAACTGTAGCTTTATAGCTATATATTGAGCAATACTTTTCTAATTTAAATAATGTGCTAAGTCTAGTTATCTTATAGAGAGAAGAAACTGTTGGTCAGTTCAGATGATTATGGTCGAGACTTGACTGGAGTCCAGAACTTGAAGAAAAAGCACAAGCGACTGGAAGCTGAATTGGCATCTCACGAACCTGCTATTGAGGCCGTGCAAGAGGCTGGTCACAAACTTATGGAAGAGTCAAACCTTGGTGTACCAGAAATAGAACAAAGGCTTGAAGCTCTAGAACTGGCTTGGCTTGAATTAAAGGAGGTACATGCATTATCGAGTATAGAAAAAAATGTTGATTTTAATTTAAAGTTTTTATGTAGCTTCTACTTTGGAGAAACAGATCCAGTGTAATAACCTTTTTTTTTATATTGAATTAGCTACTGTGCATCAATAAAGTTTGTATTATTCTTGAATATATATAAATCATTCATAAGTTTGTATAAAAGACTACATGTTATTACAATTCCCATAACATGTAACAAATGAGATTGGCTAATATGAGGTGATTTTTAGGTTTTATTATAAACTTTGTGATTTAAATGTGTCTAAATATTTGATTAAAGAATCATTCTTGCTTTCCCAAACTTTTTTCTAATGTTAAAATAGATTTTAGTGATTGTTTTGGTATCTTTGATGTTGTAAGTACATTTTTAAGGTGTTTGATTGTGAACCTACAAGACTATTTCACACAGATGTCTAGAGATCGGGGCCACAAGTTAGATGAGTCACTCACGTATCAACAGTTTCTGGCGAAGGTAGAAGAAGAGGAGGCTTGGATTTCAGAGAAACAGCAGTTGTTGTGTGTCGAAGATTATGGTGACACCATGGCTGCAGTTCAGGTGTGTGTCAGTTTTAGGAAATTATAATATGAAATTAAATCAACATCAGATTTTTTTTGTTTATATAAAACTTCTGTGTATCACATGTCCTTATTTGAATACATTTATTTCAACAGAATTTTTTTTTTTTACAGTTAAGAATTTTATTGTTACATTTCAACTTCTGGTTATATTAAGAGGTAGTCCTTTAAAGGATATGAAATTAACTCTTACAAATATTGGTGTTTGTGTACCCGAAAGATACTTCCTTAGTTTGGGGCAGCCTTATCAAATGCATATACAACTGTTAAGAGGTTATTTTGTAATTTTTGGAGACGGAGCGGAAATTAGCAGCATGCTGGAAAACTTAATTCATTGCTTAAAACCAGTGAATGTTATTCATAAATTAATTTTGGGGTGACATGTCATTCATGTGACAAGTTTCAGCTAGTTGCCAGAGTTAATAATGTCTTATCTGTTAACTCATAGTGTAATCAAGTTTTAACTGTAAATAAGTTTTAGCTTGTGTTATTGATTTTTTTTTTCTATTTTCAGTAAAAGTTTCAACCATACTTAGTTTAGGAACTGTTACAAAATCTATTTCTTCCTGCTGATCAAACAAAATTTGATTCAAGATGTTTGTTATCTTTAGTAATGAAGTAAAATTGTGATTTTTTTAAAAATAATAACAAAATGCTAATTTTAAAAGCTATATCCATTTCCTTAGGGACTAATCAAGAAACATGAAGCATTTGAATCTGATTTTTCTGTACATCGTGAGCGATGTACAGATATCACCCAGGCTGGCGAACAGCTGGTGGCTGTGGGAAATCACCACTCGGACAGTATCAGTGAGCGTCTTCAGCAGTTGCAGAACCGTCTGAAGTCGTTGGAAAACAGTGCAGTGAATCGCAAGAACAAACTGAAGGATAATTCTGCTTATTTGCAGTTCATGTGGAAGGCTGATGTTGTGGAAAGTTGGATTGGTATGACAACTTTAATTTACAGTTTTTCTTCTTACTGTTTAATGCTTGTTAAAATAAAAAGGAGGAACTTTTCTTAGTTATAGCTATTTATTAATCCAATAAGTAATCCCTATTTTCAGGCTTTATACGCATTTTTAATTGCTTAAGGATAGAGACAGCTACCAAAGTTTAAAAGTATTATACGTATTTAAATAAATATTAGTGAGAGAAGTTGTTAAAAGGTTAATAGAAAATAAGCAGTTTTGGTAGCTGATTAATTGTTAATATACAGCTTTAGGTGTGTGTGTGTGTGTGTGTGTGTGTGTGTGTGTATTATTGCAGGTTTTCTACTAATGAAGATATATTTTCTTCTGGACTTAAGATTACAAACAGAAAAGTTTAATTGAATTTTTAAGCACATTCATTGTGTGTACGGCAGCTCTTTACTGTATGCTTATTCTGTGTCTTTTTATTTAAATGTCCTGTTATTAACTTAATAAGTAACACCTGTAACATTTATAAGTATAGATATACATCTCTTTCAGGTTTTATGACTATTTGTGTAATAGTCATTTAAATACAACACCCACTGGTTAGGACAGACTATTTTGGGTAACTTCAAGACTTAAATGTACTGTTTTATTTCTTTAGCTGACAAAGAAGTTCGTGTAAAATCAGAGGATTATGGACGTGATCTATCTTCTGTACAAACTCTTCTGACAAAGCAGGTGAGAACAAGTTATATCTCACTAGTTCAGTTTGAAGTTTCTTTTCAAGTCTATTGTTTTCCGAGGTCTGTTTTTAATAGCTTGTTTATATACGTTATGGTAATTATAACACAAACTAGTAATTTTGTCTTTACGATTACAAGGTTCTGATCACTGGATTTAATATTAAGTTTATATTGAACTATTACTTAAAGGAAGGTGTTTATTATGAGATTTAATTTTAGGCTTACATTGGATTATGATTTAATAACTGGTTTTTAACATCAACATTTTATTTTTCATAGTTTTTTAACGTTGATGTTTTATCTGATGTATGTGGAGATGTCATTATTCCAAACCAAAGTGTAAAGAAAGTTGTTGTATTTGTAATCTTTCTAAACAGTCTCATTGTTAAGCAATTATTATTGTATACTTTTCACTGAAGAGTACTGGTTTTTATTTTGTGTATTGTTTTTCTGGTTAATATATGAAATATAAGAACTAAAACTACCTGGGATGATCAAGAAATGATAAAAGTAACTGATAGTTAGACTACCCAGTTATATTAAAATGCAGAATATGCAGTGTAGTAGAATGTTATGTAAAATTAAGCATTAGGTATAAGAACAAAATACTTAGAAATTGATGAGATGTTAATATAAGATTATAAAATAACACAGGCCTGGTTTTATTCTCTTGAAAATTTTACATGTTCTACAGTAATTCTTGTATGCTGAATCCAAAAATGATATCCATTTTTCTCCATCACGTACA